CCAGCTACTTGGGAGGCTGAGGCAGGAGACTCGCTTGAGCCCAGGAGTTGGAAGTTGCTGTGAGCTGAGATGTCATAGCACTCTACCCAGGGGGATAGCTTGAGGCTCCTGTCTCAAAAAAAAAAAAAAAAAAAGAGAGAAATTCCCCAAGAACTGTAATATCAATCTGGAAAACAAAGATCATTTCAATTTTTTAAAATTTTTTAATTGTTTTAGACTTTTTCCTGTCTTTATTCTGGGAAGGTGGAATCCCCCTCCTCATCTTCCCTGTCTTTGTGGTTGAATGATTGGGGGTTTGACCTCTGGACTCACAGCAGTGGCTGGTGGCACTACTAGGCTAGTGATTATTCAGGGCCCATTTGCTAAGGCCACATCAGCATCCAAACATCATCCTTGAATTATACTTGATTGGAGTCATCATCTTGGGCTTACACTTGATTGGGGTAAGGTGGCACTCGTGGTCAGGTCTGAATTTGAAATTGATTGGGTAGAGTACAGAAGTAGCCCCTAAATTAGCCAAGAAGGTCCCATGAAGATATCTGTGATAAAACCTTTCAACGCCTTTGACACCAGGAATTTAGCAATTCTCAGGTCCTCCAGAAAGCACTTGCCTACTTTGGCCCTTCCAGGCCAAAGGACATTCCCATCCGCTGCAGAACTTCTAGATCATCATGGATGTTAAAGGTGTTGTCAAAATTAAAAACATATTCAAATTTATCGCTAGAAATGCTGCAATCTATGGCTGTTTTGCTGCTTGTATTGATGATTATAAATGGCAGCTGAATGGTAGAGTTCAGACCTGGAAGTCCCTGATTCCGCTGTTCATTTTGCTGATTTCTCTGTACCAGGTTTTTGACAATGATTTGCTGTAGGAGAAGCTCTTGTAGCTGGGCCTGCTTCTGCTTTATCCGTTCTATCCGCCTCTGTTTCTCTATCTCAAGGTTTTGACATTCCTGAGCAGAGTTGGTAGGTAGGCCAATCCACCTGATTTCTTTTTTTTCCTTTGAAATTATGTTCACTGCCATTAGCACATTTAAAGCATCATAAACTCTTCGCCTAATGTTCTGATTGTAAGCAGAATCAGCTGCCAAATGGCTATTTGAACTGATGAACTCTGATAACAGCTCATTATAGGACGTTGTACCTTTTCCCTGAACTTTCTCACACACTTTCCTGGAAAAATATCTCAAGCCTTTTCCATTTTTATCTCCTTTTCTACGTTGTTTCCTTTCTGCAAAATCAAAGTCTATAAATTCTCTAGCACGTTTTCTGTCGCCGGGGACCCAGCCAGTAGCTTCCACTACGTGTGTCTGAGTAACTATTGCTGGTACAGAGGTAAACGGACTCCCAGTCAGAGCACTTCCTGACCCAGTCGGACTCCCAGTCAGAGCACTTCCTGACCCAGTTAGTCTCTGCGGTGTGCTTATAACCATCTGGGGTCCAACAGTCACACTTATTCCTCCTAAGGTTTCTGGTAAAATCTTCCTTTGTGAGTTGGTGCCGGAAACTGAAAATGCAACAAATGAAATGTTACCTGGTCTAAGAAAGTACACCCCTCACCGCAGTACGTCATTCCAAATTTTAAATCTATGCACGTTATTCTATTATTGTCCAACACTTAACATATACACATACTTAAAATACTTAAAATAGAATACACATACTTAAAATAGAAGATTCTGTGTAGAAAGGTAAGTTGTGCTAAAGTCTTTCTTCAGATCCTAAATTCAAAATTCAATACATACCATAATCTCTCATTAAGAATTCATTTCTGGACTGGGAGCGGTGGCTCACTCCTGTAATCGTAGCACTCTGGGAGGCTGAGGAAGGTGGACTGCCTGAGCACAGAAGTTTGAGACCAGCCTGAGCAAAAGTGAGACACCATCTCTACTAAACCTAGGCATTGTGACGAGTGTCTCTAGTCCCAGCTAATTGGGAGGCTGAGGCAAGAGGATCTCTTGAACCCAAGAATTTGAACTTGCTGTGAGCTAGGATGGCACAGCATACTACCCAGGGTACAGAGTGAGACTCTAACTCAGAAAAAAAAAAAGAAGAATTCCTAAGATGTTGTCTCTTAAAGATTTGCCAGCTATTGCGTGTTTCCTTACATAAATGGACCATTTACAATATATGTTCCATTGTTATTAATGCTTTACCTAATCAAATTAATTTTATATTCACACTTTCTATTAAGCTCTAATAACCTTTTCTTTTCACAAACAGGCAGAAATGCTACATATAACTGCCTGTTTCAGCCCTTTGGTCCATGGACCCTACATCCTCCTCACCTCAATTTAAGTGATCAGAATGTTGCATTTATAACCTATAAATAGTCTCAAACTCTCCATCTAAAAACAATTTTTTACCATATAAAAAATTCAAGGCTCGGGTGGCGGCTGTGGCTCAAAAGGGTAGGGTGCCAGCCCCAGATGCCAGAGGTGGTGGGTTCAAACACAGCTCTGGCCAAAAATTGCAAAAAAAAAAAAAAATTCCAGGCTCATGCCTATAAACCTAACACTTTGGGAGACTAACATTGGAAGACTGCTTGAGGTCAGGGGTTTAAGACCAGTTTGAGCATGGACAAGACCCCATTTCTACAAAAAAAGAGAAAAAATGTCCAGGAATAAAATGCAGGCCTATAGTTCCAGCTACTCAGAAGGGTGAGGCAGAAAGATTGCTTGAGTCCAGCAATCTGAGGTTGAAGTAAGCTATAATGCTGTTAGTGGGATTGCAAACTAATACAGTCTTTTTAGAAAGACGTATAGAGAATCCTCAAAGAACTAAAAGTAGACCTTCCATTTGACTCTGAAATCACATTATGAGATATCTACCCAGGAGAAAAAAATCATTTTACCATAAGGACATTTTCACTAGTAAGTTCATCACAGCTCAATTCACAATCACAAAGATGTGGAAGCAACACAAGTGCCCATCAATAAACTGTGTTATATGTATATCACAGAATACTATTTAGCCATAAAAAAATAGAGACTTTGTATTTTTTATATTTACCTAGTGGGGATTGGAGAATATACTCCTAAGTACATTGAGAATGGAAAAGCAAGTATCCCATGTACTCCACACTAAATTGAAACTAGTAGATTAGCAATTATAGGCCCACATGACAGAAAAACACAATTAACTTCAAGACAGGTTGGCTGAGCATGGTGGCTCATGTCCATAATCATAGCACTCGGGAAGGCCCAGGAGAGTGGACTGCTTGAGCTCAGGAGTTCAAGGCCAGCCTGAACAAGAGCAAGACCCCATCTCTGAAATTTACAAAAATATGTAAACTCATATTAATCTGAAATTTAAAAAAATTCCACAGAATTATAATTATGCAGAAAACACTTTTAATCATGCTCTAATATTTAAAACACAAAAGCATAAATGTGATTATAAACATCTCTTAATGGACACAGAGTATAACAAGATGTACATGTAATTAAAGACATTAATAACAAAGTTGAGGGCAGACATAACAGGGAAGGGTTTTTGTGTCCACCTAAAGTTAATCTGATAACAATTTGAAATATATTGTTGGGCTGGGTGTAATGAGTCATGCTTATAATCCTCGCACTTTTGGAGTCTGAGACAGGATGGTAAGGCCAGCCCAAACATGATGAAGACCCCGTCTGTACAAAAAAAAACTCAGTGGCAAGGTTATGCAACTGTAGAGCCAGTGATTCATACAGCTCAGACAATTGACTTGTCCAGTTAATAGATCACTGCTTCATGTTAAATTTTTTAATTATTTTAATTTAATACATTCTGTAATAGAAATAGTTCACAAAATTTTTTTTCTTAAATTTAAATATATAACTCTGAATAGTTTATATAATGTATCAAACCAAATTTTATACTCAAACCATCACATTTTAAATTCTGTACAGAACAGTAGGTGCACTAGTCAAAAGCCATTCACGTAAGAAATGCCATTTAGATCCAACACTAGGGTCAGAGCCTAGGACAAAAGTTAACATTTTACACTTAAAAAATACTAAAGAGCTTAATTCAAGCAAAAGTGTTCCTGATATACCAAGATGTACGATAAAGCAATGATTATTCTCATGCCTCCCTGCTCCTAGTAACTTCTGTTTTGTGCCGAACTGGCAATTATCCCAATACTCTACAGATTCTGGATGTATCTGATGTCATTTTTCTATTGAGACCAAGTGTCCTGTGTCATGTTTGTGTTTGTAAAGCAGTAAATCTTGCCTTGAAATCAGAAAAAAAAAAAAAAAAAAAAAAGTCAGACACCTCAAGTTCCAGAGACTCAGGAGGCTGAGGCAAGAGGACAATTTGAGACCAGGAGTTGGAAGTTGGAGGTAGCTGTGATGATGCCACAATACTCTAGACCTGGCAATTGATCAAGACTCTCTCTCTCTCTATATATATATACATATATATATATATATATATGAAATCTTTTATAATCCCCATGGTAATCACAGTACTTATAGAGATATACTAAAAATACACAAAAGGATTTAAAGCATGTCACTATAAAAATTAGTGATAAAGAAAAAAGAAAAATGGAAATAGGAACAATATTTGGAATCAAAGAAAACAATTAAGCTCAGGAATCAAAGAAAACAATTAAATTGGCTCGGCACCTGTGGCTTAAGTGGCTAAGGTGCCAGCCACATACACTTAAGGTGGAGGGTTCGAATCCAGCCCGGGCCCACCAAAACAACAATGACAGCTGCAACCAAAAAATAGCCAGGCATTGTGGAGGGCACCTGTGGTCCCAGCTACTTGGGAGGCTGAGGCAGGAAACTCACTTGAGCCCAGGAGTTGGAGGTTGCTGTGAGCGGTGATGCCAGGGCACTCTACCCAGGAGGATAGCCTGAGGCTCTGTCTCAAAAAAAAAAAAAAAACCAACAATTAAATTGCCAATAGTTTGTCCCTCTTATTCAAAAGAATTTAAATATTCATGGACTAAACTTCATAATCAAAAGACACAAATAAAATGATTTAAGAAAAATATTAAAACCTAGTCAGGTGAGGTGGTTCACACCTGTAATCCTGGCACTCTGGGAGGCCAAGGAGGGTGGATTGCTTGAGCTCAGGAGTTTAAGACCAGCCTGAGCAAGAGTGAGATCCCATCTCTACTAAAAATAGAAAAACCAGCCAGGTGTTGTAGTTGGTGCCTGTAGTCCCAGCTACTCAGGAAGCTGAGGCAAGAAGATTGATCACTTAAGCCCAAGAGTTTGAAGTTTCTCTGAGCTATTATGCCTTGCCACTCTATCCAGGGTGACAGAGTGAGACTTTGCCTCCAAAAAGAAAATTAATAAAACCAGATATAACTATATTCTAACTTAAGACCTAATAATAAAAAGGACTGAAAGTGGCAATTCAGAAAAATGCAGAGTAAGTGAGGTCACAATTATGTTAGATATTTTGAGTCAAAAATTGTCCTATTTTATAAAATATACTTTAAGTCAAAACTGTCACAAGACACAAAGGACCTTAATATAAGGGCTTATGACATGGGAAACCATGTTTATTTCTGTGCTTGTATATAGATATGTCTATTTGTGTGTTTGTGTGTGTTTAAAATCAGGCCTCCCAAATACATAATGCAAAATTGATAGAACTGAAGTAATATACACAGTAATATAATAATAGTAGGGTACTTCAGCATCTCATGTTTAGTAATGAATAATGAAGCCAGACATAATATTAATAAGGCAACAAAGGACTTAAAAGTAGTATAAGACTATTAAACATAACAGCAGAATACACTATCTTTTCAATAGCTCATAAAGCTTTCTCCTGGCTAGATCACTCATTAAGCCACAATATACTTCTTTATAAACTTCAAACATTAAAATTTTACAGACTATTGTATATGACTAAAATTTAATGAAACTAGAAATCTATAACAAAAGAAAACTGGAAAATTAAGAATAAATGGATGTTAAATGGCACACATTTTTCTTTTTCTTTTCTTTTCTTTTTTTATTTTTTTTTTTTGAGAGTCTCACTTTGTCACCCTTGGTAGAGTACCATGGCATCACAGCTGACAGCAACCTCAAACTCTAGGGCTTAAGCAATTCTCTTGCCTTAGCCTCTCAAGTACCTGGGAGTATAGTCACCCACCACAACACCCCGCTTATTTTTAGAGACCAAGTGTCATTAAGGCTCAGGCTGGTCAGGTACCTGTGAGCTCAAATAATCCACCTGCCTTGGTCTCTCAGAGTGCTAGGATTACAGGTCTGAGATACCTTACCCAGACTAAATGGCAGCTTAATATCATGCAGATTTGCATACTGCCCACTGAATTATCTCCTCACATTTATTATGGTAGGCACTACCAAAAATGAATGCAATTGTTGAGGATGTGAAAAAACTGAAACCCTTGTAAACTGTTGGTGGAAAAAAAAAATAACACCGCAATATAAGAAATACTATGAAAATTCCTCAGAACTTAAAAAATGGAACTATCTCCTCGAGCTCAAGAGTTGGAGACCAGTCTAAGCAAAAGCGAAACTGCATCTCTAAAAAAATAACTGGGCGAGGGCAGCGTCTGTGGCTCAAAGGAGTAAGGCACCAGCCCTATATGCTGGAGGTGGCGGGTTCAAACCCAGCCCCAGCCAAAAACCGCAAAACAAAAAAATAAGTAACTGAGCATTATGGCGGGCACCTGTTGTTCAGCTACTCAAGAGGCTGAGGCAAGAGAATCACCTGAGCCCAAGAATTTGAAGATTATTGTTAGTTAGGTTTGTGTGATGCCACTGCACCCTACCCACAACAACAAAGTGGTAAAACTCTGTCTCAAAAAATAAATAAGTAAATAAACAAAAAGTGGAATTATCATATGATCCAGCAATCCCATTTCTGGGTATGTTTTGAAAGTATACAACACAAAATCTAGAAAAGATTTTTTGTTGTTGTTCATTCATGTTTGTTGCAGGTTATTGACAAGGGCCAAAACTCGTAAGTAACCCAGATGCCCCTTAACTAATGAACAGATGAAAAATTGTGGCACATACAAACAATGGAAAACAATTCAGCCTTAAGTAAGAAAATCTTAGCCACATTCTATAAGGATAAACCTTGAAAATATTATGTTAACTGAATTTAGGCAGTAATAACAAAGTGAAAGATAATGTATAATTACGATTCTATGAAATATCTTAAGTAGTCAAACTCATAGAAAGAGAAAGTAGAATGCAGTTTGTCAAGGGCGGCAGAAAGGGTAAAGTGGACTGCTACGACTTAGGCCTTTGATTAATAAGAAGTAAAAGCATTACATATACTACACTTATTTTAATCTTAAATTTATACAGTTAAACAATAGGTTTACATAGATTTTTAGTAAAAATACTTTTCTGTAATTAATTTTTCCATGTTCTTCCATATTGAAACTACTGGGAAAACAGGTGTTCCTCACTTTTCATCAGCAAAACAATTTCTTTTTAAACTCATCCAAGACATAAAGTGGCAAGCAAACGATTCTTATTCCTGCTAACATGGAGTCCAATCCCACTGACTGCCTGTTTTGCAAGTATAGATTTCCAGCTGTACTGCACAGCGCATACCTTCTGGATGTTGCCTTGCCAGGCATATTTGCAGCTTTGCTTAATGTGTGGCTTAAAACTGTTGATGCAGGGTTTGAACCCAGCCCAGGCCTGCTAAACAACAAGGACAATTGCAACAAAAAATAGCCGGGGGTTGTGGCGGGTGCCTGTAGTCCCAGCTACTTGGGAGGCAGAGACAAAAGAATCACTTAAGCCCAAGAGTTTGAGGCTGCTGTGAGCTGTGATGCCACAGCACTCTACCAAGGGCAACATAGAGTATGTCTCAAAAAAAAAAAAAATGTTGATGCAAGTTACTGATCTTCTATTACAGTTCACTGGGAGTCTTGGAATTCCTGCCCTCCTCCTGATTTAGCTCCTTGAAAATAATGCTGTATTGCCACAGTGACCTCCAGTAATATCTAAGGGTAATAAGCACTCAAAAACCTCTAGAGATGATGTTATTCCTTCAGAAATATTTGGCTGAATGTCTGCTGAAAATTCAGAGACAATATTGTACAGACTATGACACAACCAGTTTCTGCATTTTCTGCAAACTCATTATTTTCACGTGCTGACCCTTGTGACACAGTGCACTGCAGTTCCTCCTAAATCTTCTGTTTTATCAGGCAAATTTCAAGGTAAATGTCCTTCTGAATTTTCAAACTCACCTTCACAGTCACTTTCAGATACACATGACTCATTATCATTCAGCATTTCTTTCTTTTTTTTTCTTCTTCCTTTCTCTCTTTTTTCTTAATTTAGACAGAATCTCACTCTGTTGCCCTGGCTAGAGTGCTGTGGCATCATAGCTCACAGCAACTTCAAACTCTTTGGCTCAAGCAGTGCTCCTTCCTCAGCCTCCCAAGTAGCTGGGACTACAGGCACCCACCACCACGCTGGCTAATTTGTCTATTTTTAGTAGAGACAGGATCTCGATCTTGCTCTTGCTCAGGCTGGTCTCAAACTCCTGAGCTCAAGCAGTCCATCTGCCTTGACTTACCAGAGTGGTAGGATTACAGAAGTAACCCACCATACCTAGTCTGACTTATATTTCATTTCAACCACATGTTGACTTAAAGTAGGCATATAGAGTTACAGTTTTGTCTAAAATTTTAATATACAGGTGAGCTCAAGACCAAGGAGGGTCATTCTGTAAAGGTGGGCCTCCATTCAGTTGGTAAACTAGAAGACCCTGATCTTGGCTACAGACCAAGAAATGACCCACTCAACTCGGTGCCACTGAGAATTCTGAAGTGACAGTGTAAGAACTTTCAACTCCTTCCAGTCATGGTCCAGCAGTCAGCCTGCCTATCCAAAGACCTCAGGGGAGATTCCTACTAGCAGCCACAGAGGCAGGCCTACAGAACTTGGCACTCATTAAAGCAGTTCTGTGATTCAGTTCCAGCCATCTTAGCCATAGTCCCTAAGTCCTGACCTTCTGGGCACTAACACAATGACCTGGGGGAGAACTCCTTACATGTTCACTGTGAGTCACACTCATATACATACTTGACATCAGGCCCACCATATGTAGATCCAGCTGCAAGTTCTTGCCCTACAGATCAAAGTCCAGAAGACAATCCAATCTATCTGGCGGGTTTGAACCCAGCCTGGGCCAGCTAACAAACAATGACAGATGCAACAAAAAATAGCCATGTGTTGTGGTGGGTACCTGTAGTCCCAGCTACTTGGGAGGTTGAAGCAGGAGAATCACTTGAGCCCAAGAGTTTGAGGTTGCTGCCAGCTGTGATGCCACAGCACTCTACCGAGGGCAACATAGTGAGACTCTGTCTCAAAAAAAGCAAAACAAAACTGTAAGATGGATACTGAGCCACGAAAAAGGAAAAAAACAGTCTCATCTACACTAGCATCAATATAATAAATTGCTTACCAATTAATTTTTTTTTTTAAGAGACAGAGTCTCACTTTATTGCCCTTGGTAGAGTGCCATGCCATCACAGCTCACCGCAACCTCCAGCTCTTGGGCTTAGGTGATTCTCTTGCCTCAGCCTCCCGAGTAGCTGGGACTACAGGCGCCCACCACAACACCCAGCTATTTTTGGTTGCAGTTTGGCTGGGGCTGGGTTTGAACCTGCCAGTCTTGGTATATGGGGTCAGCACCCTACTCATTGAGCCACAGGTGCCACCCACTTACCAATTAATTTAGCCAATCAGGTCAAAGAGCTTTGCACTAAAAATATAAGATACTAACAAAAGAAATGGAAAAAGACAGAAATAAATGTAAAGATTTCCCACGTTTATAAACCGGAAGAAAAATACAGTTAAATTGCTGTCTTATACAAAGTTATCTAGCGCTCCCATGAACCCGCTATTGTGAGAAATGCTATTTCTCACAATAATGAAAACATTGAAGTCTTGGGGGGTTTTGTTTTGTTTATTGAGTGCCATGGTAGAGTGCCATGATGCCATAGCTCATAGTAATCTAAAACTCCTGAGCTCAAGCAACCTCTTGTCTCAGTCTTCCTAGTTTTAGTAGTGATAGGATTTTTAGTAGAGATAGGGTCTCGCTCTTGCTCAGGCTGGTCTTGAATTCCTGAGCTCAGGCAGTCCACCCACATGGGCCTTTAAAGTGCTAGGCTCACTGCACCCAGCCCAACAGTAAAGTTTTTATGAAACTACAATAGACTTTTAATAAATAAAGTAATCTTGAGGAAAAAGAACAAAGCTGGTACTATCACATGTTGTCATTTCAAACTATATTTCAAAAGTACAGTAATAGAAACAAAATGAGAAGTGTGTAATGACAACATGAAAGCAATGGAACCAAACAGAGCCCAGAAGTAAACTTGTGCATACAACGTCACTAATATTTGACAGGGACAGCAAGAATACAAAATGCACACATTACAGTCTGTTCAATAACTGGTGCAATGAAAATTAGATACCCATAAGCAAAAGAATAAAATTAGACCATTTTTCTTATACCATACACCCGCAAATTAATTCAAAATAAAATAAAAACTTGTATAAGACATAAATCCTTAAAAATTGTAAAAGAAAACATATGAAGAACTACTAATCCCACCAATGAATTTTTTTGGATACAACCCCAAGTATGTGGCAATAAAAGTAAATGTAAACAAGTGGACTGCACCAAACTAAAAAGTCTTTGCAGGAAAAAAAGAAAGACAGAAAAGAAGTAAGTTATAGGATGAAGAAAACATTGGCAAACCACCTATCTGATAAGGGGCTAATATGCAAAATATATTTTAAAAAACTCATTACAAGTCAAAGGCCAGACTTGGCACCTGTGGCTCAAGCAGCTAAGGCACCAGCCACATACACCTGAGCTGGCAGGTTCAAATCCAGCCTGGGCCCACCAAACAACAATGACAGCTACAACCAAAAAATAGCCAGGCTTTGTGGTGAGCACCTATAGTCCCAGCTATTTGGGAGGCAGAGGCAGGAGAATCATTTGAGGCCAGGAGTTGGAGGTTGCCATGAGCTATGATGCCACGGCACTCTACCCAGGGAAACAGCTTGAGGCTCCATCTCAAAAAAAAAAAAAAATGTCAAAGGTTGAAACAATAAAAATAATAACCTGGGCTGGGTGCAGTGGCTCATGCCTATAATCCTGGCACTCTGGGAGGCCGAAGTGGGTAGATTGCCTAAGCTCAAAGGTTTGAGACCAGCCTGAGCCAGAGAGAGACCCCATCTCTACAAATAGCCAGGAGTTGTGGCAGGTGGCTTTAGTCCCAGTTACCTGGGAGCTGAAGCAAGAGGATTGCTTAAGCCCAAGAATTTGAGGTTGCTGTGAGCCAAGATGCCATAGCACTCTACCGAGGGTGACGTAATCAGACTCTATCTCAAAAAAAAAAAAAAAATCCTGCACACTGTTGGTAGTTATAAATTGGTAGATTCATTATGAAAACCAGTTGGCAGTTCTGTATAAAATAAAGAATATAACTACTCTACAATGCAGCAATCTCACTTCTGTGAATGTAACCAGAAAAACCCCTAATCAGCATCTAAGAAAAATCTGCACCCTCCTATCTTTTGCAGCACTGTTCAAAATTGCCGAGATATGGAAATAATCTCTTAGATGTTTATAAATGATAAATTATAATCATAAAAAATATGGTAATATTAACAATGAAATATTATTTGGCCATAAAAATAAAATTCAGCCATTTCAACAACATAGATGGATGTGGAGGACATTATGCCAACTGAAACAAGATGGGCATAGATAGACAAAAATACTGCATGATCTCAGTTGAATGGTGAATCAGGAAGATGAAACCCACAGAAACAGGAGAGTGCAATGGTGGTTGCCAAGGCCTGGGGTAGGAGAAATGGGGATGTGCTGTTCAAAGGAAGCAACCTTTAACCTAGTTAAAAGATGGAAGTTTTGAAGATGTAGTGTACATAGGCATGACTATTGCTAATAATGTTTTATATCCTAAAATATGCTGATAATGTATTTAGGAGGGGACAGATATGTTCATCAACTTGATTTTTTAAATCATTTTGTAATATATACACATACCAAATCATTACATTATAGATAATAATTACATATTCATACAGCTTTTGTTCTATCACTTTTTTTTTCTGAGATAGAATCTCACTTTGTTGCCCTTGGTAGAGTGCCACAGCGTCATAGCTCATGGTAACCTCAAACACTTGGGCTCAAGTGATTCTCTTGCCTCAGCCTCCTGAGTAGCTGGGACTACAGGTGCCCGCCACAACACCTGGCTGTTTTTAGAGATGGGGTCTCGCTCTTGCTCAGGCTGGTCTGGAACCTGTGAGCTCAGGTGATCCACCTGCCCAGGCTTCCCAGAGTGCCAGGATTATAGGCATCAGCCACCACACCCAGCCCCTCTCACCAATGTTTTAAACTCCTCAATTATACATAGACAGTAGATACTGTAGGGGTGAGGGGAAACTTGCCCTGTCCCCTGAAAGTTTACTGAAAGTTCAACTCACAATTAAGGCAAATTAAGAGAAAGGTTTATTTCCCATGTGCATGGGGAGAATCAGAGTGATTACTGCATAATCCCAGTGAAGTTCAAATACTTTTATACCAATCTTATGGGAGGAGAGGGGAAACGAGGCATACAAGGAATGTTGTTTAGAGGTGACAAATGGCACCAAGAAGGACGAGTGGATGGGGGAGAGAAATTGACTCATAAATTGTTCTCTTGCCAATTAAGTTAGCCTGAAAGACAGGTACTATATTTAAATGATTTGGGCCATGTCTGGCTGCATTCTTGATCATTATTTTTGCAATACATTGAGATAACAGGGTGAAGGGAAGTCAATTGCCCTCTCTGACATTTTGATCAAGTAAGTCCAGTTTATGTAGATAAAAGGAAAGCCTATAGGGCCTGTTAAATCTCTAGGAGGCTTTAATTCAAAAAACTCTTTATACCAAGGAGTCATATTTTAGGGTATAATTTCCTGAGTTTTTCAATACCTTAAGCTATATTCATGATGGAGAATTTGGGTATACAGAGTTTAAATTAATTATCATAGTTCGTAGTACCAAAACCAAAAGTTTTGAAGTAAAATAAAATTAGATTTCTCATATTTAGGGAGATACTAAATGACAAAGTGTGGATATCTGTACAATCACATTTGAAACCTTCATCGGCTAGGAAACCAGAAACCATATAACACTTAATATCTATTTTGATAGATATTGTGATATTTGATTGTGATATTTCTGAGCCAAATACCAATATCACCATTTTACTCACATATTTTAAACACAATTAAGAAATAAAAATTGGGGGGTGGGGACAGAGTCACCTCAGTAGAGTACTGTGGCATGACAGCTCATAGCAACCTCAAACTCTTAGGCTCAAGCAATTTTCTTGCCTCAGCCTCCTCAGCAGCTGGGACTATAGGCACCTGCTAAAATACCTGGCTATTTATAGTAGAGATGCAGTCTTGTTCTTGCTCAAGCTGGTCACTCCCAAGCTCAGGCAATTCACCTGCTTGAGCCTCCCAAAGTGCTAGGATTACAGGTATGAGCCACCCATGAAGACAGATTTTTAAAAGATTATTTCACAAAGAGTTCCTTAAAAAATACAAAGATACTCACGCCTATAATCCTAGCATTCTGGGAGGCTGAGGTAGGTGGAATGCTTGAGCTCACAAGTTCAAGACCAGCCTAAGCAAGAGCAAGACCCCATCTCTACCAAAAATAGAAAAACCGAGGGAAGAGGATCACTTGAGCCCAAGAGTTGGAGGTTGCTGTGAGATAGGAAGGTCGCCATGACACTCTACCCAGGACAATAGCTTGAGACTCTGTCTCAAAAAAAACAAAAACCCACAGGAGAAAGAAACCCATATTTTTGGAAAAATCTTTCCATTGGAGCAGAGCTTCCCAAATCACATATTAAGGGTCAGCTTCCTCGAACTTTGGACCTCCCACCTGTGTAACCTGCTTCATTCACTCCCACCTACCTGGGTGTTTGGCTTCTGTCTTTTGTCTGTTCACCTTCCAAGGTTCTTTGCTTTGCTCCAGACAGATGATGAGGTCTGGTTTGGAGGTCAAAAGACCTATTTTATTAGAAAAAAGTAATATGACTCAACTTTTCCAATTCTAAACTTAGTATTGTACTCAGTAAAGAGAACATTTTAGATGGTTCTAGAAAAATAATCCCAATATAATATTTCCTTACTGAAACATCAGAATATTTAGGAAATATTTAAAATTTGTGGGCCCTTACCTGTACTACCCGATATACTGAATAAAGACTTGGTGGTGAGGTCAGGTGTGGTGGCTCACACCTGCAATCCTAGCACTCTGGGATGCCAAGGTGGTTGGACTACTTGAACTTAGGAGTTTGCAACCAGCCTGAGCAACAGTGAGACCTCATCTCCAAAAATAGCCAGGCATTGTGGTGGGCAACTATACTCCCAGCTACTCGGAAGGCTGGGGCAAGAGAATTGCTTGAGCCCAAGAGTTTGAGATGGCTGTGAGCTGTGATGCCAAGCCATTCTACTGAGGGTGATATAGGGAAACTCTGTCTCAAAAAACAAAACAAAACAAACAAAATGAAAAAAAAAAAAACTTTGGTGATGGAAATTAGATTTTAAGGTATTGTTAGGTAGTCAGCTATAAATACAACTCTCCTGGAAAGGAAAGCAAAGGGGACACCCCAGCCTCTGTTTGGTGCTACCCAGCTGATTGGTTACACCTGAGGAAGAGGAACATACCCTACCAATCTGCCTATCAGAAATTGGCACACCAATTGCAAAAGGATGTAGAAGACTCTTCAGCCCAACAACAGGTACAATAGAGTCTTGAAAGTGACCAAAAACAGCCTAATGACTAATTGTTATGTCATTAATTTAAATCTACATTGCAGTGCACATCAGTGGGTTCTCAGAGAGGTTGATGAGAGATCTGCATGCCCATTAGGACTCTGGTCTCAAGGTGACCTCTCGATCACAAGGTAGGCCCAACACAGGCAATATAAAAGAAACCCCTAGCCATGTTCAAAGCCTCTTTGCCCTTTTCTTTGTTTCTCCATTCACTGTCTATGGAGAATCTACCTTATTCTGTAAGCCTGTACCTTGCTCTTACTCTATAAATCTATCTTTCTCAATAAACATTGTTTTATGCTTGCTTTACTTTCGGGTATCAGGTCATTATTCATCTAAGAGCACTCCAAGAGGCCAGGCATGGTGGTGCACACCTGTAATCCTAGCACTCAGAGAGGCCAAGGCAAGTGGATTGCTTGAGCTGAGTTCAAGACCAGCCTGAGCAAAGTGAGACCCCATCTCTACTAAAAATAGTAAAACTGAGGCAGGAGCCCAAGTTGGAGGTTGCTGTGAGCTATGATGCCATAGAACTCTACCCAGGACAACAGCTTGAGTCTCTGTCTCAAAATAAATAAATAAATAAATAAGAGAACTCCAGAGTCAGTGAACTGGCTCATTCCAGTAATCCTAGCACTCTGGGAGGGCAAAGCAGGTAGATTCCTTGAGCTTAGGAGTTCTAGACCAACTTGAGCAAGAGTAAGACTCCATCTCTACTAAAAATAGAAAAATTGGGGCCCAGGGCAGTGACTCACGCCTATAATCCCAGCACTTGGTAGGCCAAGGTAGGTGGATTGCCTGAGCTCCTAGGTTCAAGACCAGCCTGAGCCACAGTGAGACCTCATCTATAAAAATAGTCAGGTGTTGTGGTGGGCACTTGTAGTCCCATCTACTTGGGAGGCTTAGGCAAGAGAATCACTTAAGCCCAAGAGTTTCAGCTGTGACACCACGGCACTCTACCCAGAGTAATAGCTTGAGACTCTGTCTCAAAAAAAAAATATATGAAATGTTAGGTCAGGTGCAGTGGCTCATATTTATAATCCCAGCACTATGAGAGACCGAGGTGGGACGATCAAGAGAAGCCAGGAGTTTGAGACTAGCCTGAGCAAAAATGTAACATACCATCTTCACAAAAAATTAACCAGGCATAGTGGCATATACCTATAGTCCCAGCCACTGGGGAGGCTGAAGCAGGAGGATTGTTTGAGCCCAGGAATCTGAGGGTGTTGTGATCTATGATGACACCAGTGCACTGTGGCCTGTGTGACAAAGCAAGACCCTGTCTCAAAGCAAACAAACAAACAAAAATAAATGAATAAACTCAACAGTATGGATAACAATATTTTATGCCACTAAATTTCTGAAATAACTAATAGACAGATTAGCCCAAGAAAGAATAAGAGCAATGTGAACAGAAAACATCTTGAATGTTTTTACCATACCAATAAATCCTAAAGTTTTCCTAGGAACAAAAATTAGAAACTCATCCATGCAAATCCCAGAAAACTTTTTATAAAGGAAGAGTAGAAAATCCTTAGAGTAGAATAGCAACTGTGTATTGAAATTATACTCACCCAGAGAGACCAAGTTTCTGTAGTTCTCTAACATCACATCCCTAAACAAATTCTGCTGAGCAGGGTCCAGGCAAGCCCACTCCTCTGGAGAGAATTCTAGGGAAACATCTCTAAATGTTAATTGTTCCTGAAAAACAAACAACAATAACAAACAAACATATTTGCCAAGCAGCCATGGGGAGAATTAACTCCTGGTGAAATGAGAGAGTGAAGAAAACTGGTTCTGATTCACATGAGTGACTGGAATTATATAATAAGATTATTTTAAGAAAGATAAATTTTCAAATGTACTCTTCACCTCTTAGGAAAGGAGATGGCCTAACATTCACAAAGCAGTAGGGATACTACACTTTTGGGGGTGATGGAGTACAAAAATAAAGCTACCAACATGGGCATGTACATTTTTGAGTGATTTACATTATACAGGATAAGCTGTAAATATTTCTCAGGTAGAAAACTCATGAAATTAGAAAGTATCTCTAAATATTAATGTGTACAAAACCAAAATGGATGGCCTAATGTGGTGTCTCATGCCTGTAATCCTAGCATTCTGGGAGCCTGACACAGGGGAATTGACTGAGCTTACAGGTTCAAAACCAGCCTGAGCCAGAGCAAGACCCAGTTGCTAAAAATAGTCAGGTGTTGTGGCAGGCACCAGTAGTCCCAGCTACTTGAGAGGCTGAGGGAAGAGAATTGCTTGAGCCCAAGAGACTAAGGTTCCTGTGAGCTGTGACGCCATAGCACTCTACAGAGGACAACAAAGTGAGACTCTATAAATAAATAAATAAGAGATCTTATTAAAATGCAGGTCTTGGCCAGTCCAAACACTGGCCTGGTCTTGGGACTCCCAGGAAGAGGCTAGCACTATTTCTAGATGAAATCAACCTAGCTCTGTATTTTTTTCTTTTTTATTTGAGACAGAGTCTCAGTATGTCACCCTTGATACAGTGCTATGGCATCACAGCTCACAGAAACCTCAAATTTTGGGGCATAAGTGATTCTCTTGCCTTAGCCTCTCGATTAGCTAGGACTACAGGCACCCAACAAGACACTGCCACAACACCCAG